ATCAATTACCCAAACCATGATTCCGATATAGACCCGTCTAGTTGTCCCAGCAAAGCAAGAGACAAGACGAAATGTTGATTTGGTAGACCAATTTTTCAGCCTAACATTAATTTCGGTGACCTGAAATTAATTTTATATTGATATAATTTGATTTCGAAACAAGTTCTCTCATTAAAAAAAAAAAAAAAAACTAAAAATGATTTTTTACAATTTTATGTTATTTTTGTAAAGTTACAATTATGAAATGTTATATGATAGGTTTTTTTTAAAAGTCCACACTTGTGTTATTATTTATATTCACTTATTTAATGACAGTATTGTAAAAATCTCGCTTAGGTGCCGCCTAGGCTCTAGGCGGTGTCATTCCGCCCACATCAATCTAGGCTCTAAGTGATGTCCTAGGTAATGCAATTACACTCGCAGAAATTTAATGCGGTTTGCACCACTTAAATCAATTATTTATACTCACTTATTTAATGATAGTATTGTAAAAAACTCACCTAGGTGCCGCCTAGGCTCTAGGCGGTGTCATTCCGCTCACATTAGCCGAGGCTCTAAGCGATGTTTTAAGTGATGCCATTTCACCCGTAAAAATTCAATGCGGTTTGCACCACTTAAATCAATTAAATACATCTAAGCATTATTAGGCATACTTAATGGCACCTAGAGTGCTTGAGCAAATGCTTTTTATTAATTTTTTAGTCTAATGAAATGATATTATTTAATTTATTATAAAAATTATATTAAAAAATTAAATACCAAGTAATTCCTTTAAATTTTGCTATGTAGACATAATAATAAATACAAAAATATTTAATTTTTTAATTATTTTATAATTTTTAAAATTGTTTTATATTTTTTTTCTTGTTCTTTTAGAATTATATCAAAAAATTATTATTAAAAAAAAAAAACCACCTAGACCTCTTAGGCACTGCCTAAACACTCTAGGCTCTAGGTTGTGGGCAACCGTTTATCAATGCATTGCATTTTCTACAACCTTGTTTAATGATATATCATAATAATAAATTTATAATTTTATATGATATTATAACTATAAGATTGCCTAACCAATATTCCTATCACTTAACAAAGCAAGTGGGAGAATGCCATTGCTCTCTCTGTGGATGGCATCAGGGTGTGGGGTTTAGGCCGCACCCCTTGACTTCTGTTACAACCCCTCCCCTACCCCTCAATCACAAGAAGTTCAAGGAAAAAGGGAAAAGGGAAACTAACCAGTATAAGATGTCAAATTAAGCAGTGGATGATTCATCGCTCTACGCTGCATGCAAAGAGCAATAGTGAACTGTAAGGCTCCGTATGTTTAGGTTTCACTTGAGAACGTTTTACTATAACTATAGTTATTTATTTATTTTTTATTTTTTAACATCTCAAAAGTAATTAAAATATATTTAATATTTTATTTAATTAAAATTTTATATATTTTCGAAATAGTAAAAAAAAAAAAAAAAAAAAGAAAAGGCCAAAGCCTTGTGAAGTGTTTTCAAGTGAAACCTTAGTATTGTTATTGCTTGCAGCTAGATGTAGATACAAGTTGGTTTCAGTTTTTAATTCAAATTTTCTGTTATCCCTTTTGGTTTCTAAAATTTTTTAAGGCTAAAACTAAAACTTAGAAACAACAATGATATTGTATTAAGTCAAAAAATATATATATTTTATTAAATTTGTTATTTTGTAATTTAAATTATTTTAAATTATAAAATTAAGACCCTTGTATAGGGCAAAAACCCCTAAGATCAAAAGACTCTCACAATCTAAGAATAAATATTTTATAATATAAAACAATTTAAACTATAAAATAATTTTTTATTTTTTTATAATAAAGCATATAAACAAAAACCAGTATATAGAGTATTGGGTGAAGTTTCCACTGGAGAAGTAAAACCCTATCAGCCCAATTTTAAACAATCCATTTCTCCTCATTCTTTAGGATTAGGCCCGACATTGAGGAAATAAAATATAAACATTGGGTTGAGGATGTTCCAACTTCCGAGGGCGATGGCAGGCCCAGTAGGCCTCCCAAGTGCAGAGGTTTGATCTAGAGTAACGACCCACCAAATTGTAGAGAGTCAAAAGTCAAACGGCCATAGAGCCATACGATGATTTCCACCGTCGCCATCATGTCCGACAACAAAAATCCGGCGGTCCTGGTTACCGTCGCCGCACAAGATCAACCTTTCTTCCCAAAGCGGTCCACATTGCTGCCAACTCCACTCGACGTTGCGTATGTTTAGTGGGAAAATCACTCAGTGGAGTGTATAAGGAAGAAAATTGAAGAAAATTATAGGTTAAATAGAAGGAAAGGTTATTCTATTTATTGTCAATTAAATTAATTTTAAGTTTGATGTAAATTTTATATTAAATTTACGTATACAATTTTCAGGTTTGGTTCTGTGTTAAGCCGCGTTGCGGTAAGTAAGATGAGCCCTGGAGTTCGTTCCGGTTTTGATTGTTCTTAATCTGTAAAAGTCTGCAAAAATCTCGGAATATTTACTTAGAAATGAAAATTTTGGTGATAATTTTCAGTTCGGCGGTGACATTTAGTTTGTTTCAGATGGGATGGGAACTGGCGATAAAGTTGTAGAAATTGAGAGCTTAGACAGAGGTTTGTGGTCGGATTCTGGTTCCTCGGAGGAAAGGGAGGCAGAAGATGAGCCGGTTCTTTATGCGGTATCTTTGTAGGAGATGGAGGAGAATTTCGTTAAGTATCTTACGGTGAAAGGGGCTCTGTATTCGTTGCTTTTGATATTGGCTTGCGGCATTGGGTTGTTTGTGTTGCTGTATTTGTTGGAAAGTTTACGTTGGTTTCGGATAATTGTATTTGGTCTCTTAAGATTGGGTGAAATAGAAAAATTGATAAAATACAATAAAAAAAATGTAATCTAACTTGCCCTAAATTTTATTATGTTAGTTTTATACGGTCTAATATAAATAAATATAGGATTTAAAGTTAAAAAATAAAAAAATTGATAAAATACAATTAATAAAGAAAATTTGCTACATGTTATAGCTACATGGGTTAATACTTCATTTGTTTAGTTCAGGTCACCAGGCCAGTCCCATTTCCTTGTTTTGGGGTTTTAAAGAAAGAGAAGCAGGTTTTGTTTCCTTCGGTTGCAGATGTTTTTTTTTTTTGACAAGGGGAATATGGGTTAAGAGTTAGTATCTGCTCATGTCATGATTCGAACTAAAGAAATAGGTAAACTCCACCTACTACTCATGGAGTAGCGTGACTCATTCACTAAGTCACGTGAGTAGTTCTTTCGGTTGCAGATGTTGTGATTGAAGAAAGGTCAAGGTTTTGTGTATTTTTTTGGAGTGCTTAACCCAACTGTGTGTGTGTTTTTTTTTCCTGATCAAAGCGTAAAGTGTTAACTCTTTGATTTTGAGACATTTAACTTGCTATGTTGATTGCTCTGTACTTAACCATCAGGAGAACTAAAAAAAAAAAAAAGGAACCATTTCAGCCTCCTTGCTCACTAAAGTTTAATAGTCGGATGAAGAGATGGCTCTGCACAACTGACGTTGTTTTCGAATTATTGATTATTTATTATTATTTTTTTGGGGGGAGAAGTGGGGGGAGGAGGGTTGTTACATGTGGTTTTGATTTGTCAGGTTTATATTACCTCAGTTCTCTAAAATTTTAGGCAATTTTGTTTGGCTGTAGGGTACTTGCAGTCTCTTTTCGGTGTCTATTCACTTAGAATTGAGAATGTTAGTCCTGGCAGGCCACCGAATGATGACGTGCAAATCCTAGGCGTTGCAAATCCAACTGCTTTCAAGAAGGTTTTTTCTACTGTCAAATTATATTCTATTGCTGATTCAATAACGGGATGTTGACAAGTTCCTTTGCTACCTATTTAAGGCTGGTTTGACATGACTCCCAAATATAAGAACTGAGGTTTTCTTACAACTTCTTTCTGCGACTGAAGATGTTCCAAGTTTGGGACCTAGTCAATCACCGGCTCCTTGGGTATGCTAATCCCTCAATATTAGGATTGTATTCAATCCATTTGAATTCTTCATTAATCAGGTGTGAAGGTTAGTTTAGTTGTCAATGTTGGATTGGATAAGGTTTGTAAACTGCAAATGTAGGGAATCCATGATGGAACCATACATTTTAAATCATCAGCTCTCTGCCTTCCTATATTGTCCAGCTTGAATTTTTCCTTCTCCTTTGTTATTAGGTTTAGTAATTTATACATTTCTCGGCCCTCTGGCCAAGATTAAATTAGGTTTAGTGATTTTTCTTTCTTTGTTATTGCAGTT